TGGCCTGTCCCGGATTTTCGCAGAGGTTTTGCTTTTTCCTCCCGGTTTTCTTCCCCTTTGCTTGAAAAGCCTCCCGGACCCGGCACTTGCCCGCCCAGACAACAAAGCCGCATGGGGTGGCCGGACACGTGTGGGCGGCTCCAGCGCTCCAGCCGGGACACCTGCCCATCGGCCCTGGCGTTTCCCCCGCTTCCTCCCGTTGTTGAGAGGAAGCACTTCAAAAGAATAACCAGTTGTTCTCTAAAATAAGACCCACCTCGGTCACTACGGACCTGTCTCGATCTGTTGCGCGAAGCGGCTCTCAGCAGATTGGTGGTCAGGTGCCGGCTGCTTCTGCTCAGCGGGATGTCGGCAGGCACGCAGGAGGCGCAGGCCTTGTCCCTCTCCTCTGCCCAACACCTGTCTAGTTGGAAGTGTGAGGAAGGCACAGCCGTCTGTCCGTGCTGTGTCCATCCCACGCTTCCAGCGGGCCCCGGAGAGGTGCCTGGTCGAGGCTAAGCGTCGCCCAAAGACGCAGATAAAGTACTGTAGAGGTGGCTCTGCTGGTGGCTCTTTTTACAAATACTATTATTTTATTCACTTTCTTTCCATGAAAAGAATACGCCCATTACGGGGGAAGCTCAGTGAGGACTTCTGGCTGCCAACCTAAGCTACACCAAACCTGAGCCACTCTTTATCACATGTGATAGCCCTCCCCTTCCTTCGCCGTTGCCTTCCCAATTGTTTTGTCAGGTGAATCACTGGCACGAGCTAGACCTGCCTGGATGGAAGGTATTCCTGTGAACCAGCTCAGAAGCGTCAAAAGCTGAACATTTAATACAGGCAGCATCCTACTTCAACCCTGTTGTAACTCACGGTGGTTGCAAAGTACCTGATGCACTTAAGGTGCTCAGGATAAAGGAAGGATGCAGAGGAGCTTCCCGTCTCATTTTAACCATGACCTAATCAGTGACAGTGACAAATGGGGGGGGGAGGGCGAAAAGGGGCAAGGGAGGATGAGGGTGACAATAATGAGATCACATGGTCACTTAGATTCATTATGTGCATGTCTTTGTGGCCCTGCTGGTCCATTAGGTTTGGGATGGGTGGAGGAATGACTAAGGGAGACGAACTGGGGCAAAAGAGCACAGTGATGGGGCAAAAGGAATCAAAATGAATACATTTTGCAATCCGACTTCACCAGCTGAGTGGAAAGCCCAAGGGGGTTGGTGCAAGATTGGGAACGTGGACTTTTCCCCTTCTGGATCCTCGGTGTATAATCAGTATCAGTTTGGCTTCCCTGGAGATTTATTTCCCAGCTGACAGCATTTATACCTGGCCATGCACATCTACAGCTGAAAAAAACAGGCCGATCTCAAAGTGCACCCACCTGTCCCGTGTGCTTAAGGCGAGTTGTTCCCTTCGTTAAACACTTTGTGTGGCTGTTTCACCGCCCTGTACGCTGCCGCGTGCTTGGGGCTGCCGGAATAGCTGGTGATGTAGAAGGTTTTGAAGCTCCAGATGGGAATAGCTGCTTCTGCCCTAAATGGCCAAGCCTGCCCCAGCCGCTCTGCCGCTCCCTCGCTGCCCCCACACCCGCACCGCCGAGGTGCGGCACATCCCAGCTCGAAGGCCTGCTTCAGTCTCTGCTGCCATTTTCTCCCTGGCTCCGGCCGAGGAGAAAGGCGCAGGGCTCGGCTCTCGGCGCTGCCCCAGGAGGGTTTGCCCTTTCTCAGCAAAACAAACCTCCCAGCTGAGCATCTGGGCAGGAATTGCTGCTGGAGCGGCTCTGTGCTGCGGATGGACTCGGCCGCTCCGTGCCATGCCCACAGCCACAAAAATAAGGCAGGCGCTTATTAAATTATCCTGCTGAGACACAGGTCCTGCAGGGCTCTTAGGGGAACGGACAGATGCCACAAGCAACAGCTTTTGCAAAGGCGCTGAGCTGGGGGACCTGTAAGGGGTGGGGGAGGTTCAGCTGCTGCTTTTGCCTGCCACAGGAGCATGTTGCAGAGGGATTAAGGGCTTTGTTCTTCAGGGAAACTGAGGAACTGGGGCAAGGCAGCAAGCTGAGTGCAGGCCCTCCAACACAAGCGTTTTGTCCGTTGGGCTGTGCTGCTCTGAGGATGGTGGGGGCAGGGGTGGATTTTCCTTTAAACACAATCCTCTCATGGGAAGTACAGAGCATCTTACATGTCACAATTTCCTCCACGGGAGCGGTGCCTGGCCCGGGGTATCCACCCCTTTGCTGGCAGGGAGGGGTGTAACATCACTTCCATCTCGGCCCCTCGCCCAGCGGCAGTAAATCCCAGGCTCAGGAGCTGTTGACGCAGCAGGGGGTGGTATGAAACCCTTGTCAGGGGCTGGGGCAGGTGGTGAGCAGTGCTGGATGTTCGGAATGGCTTAGTGCCTGCCAGCCGCCAGCCCCACCAGGCTGAGCTGCCCGTGGTGCCAAGGAGCTGCAGCTCCTCCAACAGCTCTGTGGGGCTGGGACCTCACCAGTCAGGCTGGAGGCTGCGGGAACCACTGTTTGCCTGGAGGTTTGGGTGCCGGGCAAGGCGGGGGCAGCCACCCTCTTCCTAGGGGGAATTTGGGAAGTGCTAGTGGGTGCAGAGATGGGAGCAGGAGGGGTGGGTGGGACTGATCCTGCCGCTGCCCAGCCATGCGAGGTGTCCCCTGGCACCATACCAAGCTGCTGTCAGGGGAGCCTTTTTGGGCACACTGAGTCCTCACAAACCCACCACGCTGTGGCCAGCCAGGTTCCCAAGATCTCCCCAGCAGAGAGCTGCAAGTCTTCCTCCCCAGCCCCTCGGAGCCCAGCCCTGCTGCCTTGTAAACATGCCCACAGTTTTTCTTTGGTATTTTTAAATACCTGGATGTGGCAGTACCCTGTGGACCCGTGTGGATCTTTAGGATAACAGCAGCCAAAGCTGAGTCTAGTCTGATTTAGACTGGTCTCAAGCTGATCACACTGTCATGCACCAAAAAAAAAAAGTTAATGTGCATTTATTACTACTCATTGCGGTTGTCTAGAGCGAGCCGTCCGTATGCCAGTCCAGTGGGTGAAGTCACAGAAACACAGAGCGCAGCCCCAGGAGAGCTCCAATAGCTGACCAGAATATTTGCCTTCAGGTCTCGAGGCTGAGCCCTGCACACGGCCCAGCCACCTGGGCACTGCTGGGCACGGTGGTGCCATCATCCCATGGGATCCATGTGGAACTGGCTGCTGCCGTGTCCCGCAGGCTGCGGGGCGGTGGGTGCAGTGCCCTGGGGGATGAGCATCTTGTTTATTGCTCCTGTTACTTGATGATACGAGGCAGAGTACGTACAGCCTAGGAAGAGTATTTTAGTTCAAATCCGTAACACAGTATTTAATCCCAAGCAGAGCAACAGAGACCTGGGCTATATATAGAGCGCTCTTGCTATATCACACAAGGACACAAAATATTTCCCAAACAAGGTTCTTTGCACACCAGTTCTTAATGTTGTCTTTATCCCAGTCCTTAGTGGTCAGTGCATTCAAAGCAGTTCTTCCTTCTTGATGTTTTACAACTCCAAATACTGATACTGTTTTGCAGAATGGATCAGTTCAGACATGCAGCTGCATTTTATTTTAAATGATCACCAGTCGTACCGACAGCTTCCAACAATGCAGTTGGAATGTACTTAGCGGTGGTATAATACGCAGGCAGTTTCAGTAGTTTAAAAACAGGGCTGGATTTCATGTCCTTGTGTCGGGCAGTATCTGCTTGGACAGTGTAATTCCGTACAACTGCAGCTTTCCGATGTTCAGTGGGAGCTGAGACAGAGCTGCAGCCAAGCGTGTGCTGGCTGCCTGTGACAGCAGGGCTGCTGGGCGGGCTGAGCAGAACCACGATCCCCAGGCCTTGCATCCGAGTCGCTCCGGACTGCGTTGGAACGGCACGTCTCTCAGGCTGTCCAAATGTTTTGGACACGTTTAAAATAACAAAATGAACAACATAGAGCTCACTTCTGTAATGATTTCTTTGTTGTACAGTTGATCTATTGTTCTAATACATTTATGGAAATCTTACACATTTGAAAGCTACCAAAATAAAAAGACCGGTATCTGAAGGTGCACTGAACTCAGGAAGGCACCCAGCGAAGATTTTCCCAAAGCTAAATCTGGAACAGCTTGCTCATAGCACAGGGTCTCTAGAGAAATGCAGTTTCAGTAAAGTCTCCAATGCCACTGGCGTTATTAAAAATCAGTATCAGAGTATCATGACAGAGAGGTACTCATCCTCCAGGCTGGCTGCAGCACGCTGCCCTTGAACACTGTTAATTCTGCTTCACTGACAGATCTCCGGTAGCTGCTGGTAGCTTTCTCCTGTCTCCAAATAGCCAGCGGTTGTGCAGCGTTTCATTTGAACTGGTTATCAATCAGGGTTCCTTTCATCTTGGCTTTCTTGGCTTCCAACTCAGCCTGATTAAGAAAATGAAGACAGAATGAAATAATGTCTGGATACGTTTCCCTTCAGTGCTCCAGTGAGGCTTGGTTGACTGAGCACTGCAAGCTTCACTCCAGGAGCAAGAGCAGCTCAAGTTCTTTGCTGACTCCTTCCTCCCCTGAGGTACAAAACGAGGATCACCTTTAAAATCATAAAAAGCCCAAGACTAACTGCACAGGAGACAGTTTCATACTTTCTCTCCTCAGGTGGAAGCTGCACATTCCCCCTGCCCCCCCATCTACTACTCTCCTGTCACATCAGCTGTGATGTTCTTGCCATTAATTCTTCAAGTGACCCTTCCTGTAGCAGCTGAGCTGGCAGGGCCCCCCCAAGAACCTCAGCTTGCCCTGGAGCCTCGCAGCAACGACCAAGAAGGCTTGAGAGCACAGCATTACGGATGCTCTGGTTGGCAAAGCCTTGGTCTCGATTCCCTTTCCCTTGGTCCTGTCCAACAGGTCATGGAACGTCTCCCTGAAAAAGCTCTGCTGGCTGCTCTACAGGTGACTGCATATGATTTCAAGTTCAGGAGGACAAGAACATCTCTATATAAGCTGTAAAGTAAAAGTCATCCTCACAAAGCTGCAAGTCACCTGTGACTGTACCAGGACGTCTCTGGACGTGCAGCCCGATCTGCCAGATGGCTTCTGTGTACAAAGCCAACAGACCTCAGGGATTCGCGATCAGCTCCAGAAAAAACACTCACCAGTTCCTGTAGCCTCCTTTTGCTCATGCCTTTGCGTTCCAGCTGTTTCTCGATCACTTTTGCATTCTGTGCGTAGGAGTCTGCAATCTCCCTCTGAAACACACAGAATGTCACTCTGCAACAGCAAACCCCACAGGAACAGCACCTCGTCCAAACGGCGAGACGATCGCTGGCTCTGATCAGTGCCTAAGAGCCGCCCAGCCCAGACGTGACTGCTGCTGAGGGCAGGCAAAACTCACCGCTTCGATCTCCTCCTCCTCTTCATCGATTGTGGAGACTGTGACAGAACTGAACTTGCCCATGTCTTTGGTCCGTTTGGTCATCATCACCTGGGTGAGAAGCAGAGTATTTTGTTAAACCTTGGCAACAGCTGTTTTACAAGGGATCACTTCCCTCTCCAAGGCTTTTAGGGCTTCTCATGCAAGTCACTAGGATTCCCTGAACTCCGTAGGGGCAAAGGAGAATTATCCCCAGTGATTTCTTGCCTCAGAGCTGCCATTATCAGGTGTAAATTCACTGATACATCCTAGATGAACCAGATTTTAAGAATCACTGTGCAGACTACCAATCTGACCTACTTAAAAGGACACTTTCTGATAACTGAGCCTCAACATCAGGCACTGTCTAGATTTCCAAGTTTATTTTGCTTTCCTTTAGCACTAGGACTCCAAGTTGCAGTGACCTCTGTAAAGGAAAACTTAAGGCAGACAGGGAGAAGATACCAAACTGAGTTAATATTTTGAGGTCCTTTTCTTTATTTATTTCTTTGCCCCTCTGTCCCCACTATTAAGTGATGTTACCCACACCATTCTAAAAAAACAGAGATAGCCTTTTTACTTCTCTAAAGCCCATTACCTTTTTGGGAGGTTCTTGTTTCTGAGTATATATGTTTGTTTTCCCAAAACCCTGCCCAAATTTGACCACAGCACCGTCAACAATGAAGGTCACGGGGGCGTTTTTCTGCTGGTGTTGATAAAAGAGCAGCAGTCCACACCTGGAAACAGAAACACATGTAGCTGTGAGGAAACACAGCTTCTGGATTCCAACAGTTACTTTACAGATTGTAAAAGGCACTGGAGACCACTCACTTGCCACACTTCTTCCTGAACTGCCGCTCTATGCCTTCTGGTCTGGGGAGAGAGGAAAAGCTTGAGAGGAGAGCCCAGACAGTGGGCACTGGCGCCTGGCTGATGGACGGAGGCAAGGCCAGACAGGGGCAGCCCCTTCCCCGGGCCGTGAAGGGGCTCTCCGAGGGGCCCGGCCGCGTCCCACCTGCGCAGGAAGACGCACTCCTCCTCCTCCGCGTTGCAGAACTTGTGGGCGTGCTTGGCGGCGTCCATCACCCGGGCGCGGTCCCG